TATCTCTAAAGGTAGAAAATATTTGGAAACCAGAAAATAAGTGGTCATCAAATCAATTGATAAACCAGGGAGGGTGGAGGTAGTTCTAAAAAAGGATGATTATAACCTGAGAGATTATAAAACATCTACAAAGCTGAAACAGCCAACTAAACAGTGTTATAAGGAACAAAACTATTTTGTAAAAATAGGAACAGACAAATGAGTTAAACATACAAATCACAGGTGCAGTCTTCCTGCTGAATGAAATAATTTCCCCACCCCTAAGAAAGGGGTTGATTTACTAAACCTGTAGGGTACCAAGGATAGAATTATAAACCCCACTAGGGTTCTTTTTCCCCCACTCTATTTAAAACTTAAAAAGAAAGGTGTGGCTGAACTTACACACTACTTTACTATGTCATCATGTTAGTGAGACACAAGTTCAGTGAAAGTTGGAGTGCAAACCAACCTTAAACAAATACCTTGTGCAGTGGCCTCCAGCCCACAGACAATATCTCGGCTTTAATTACTTTTTTTCCAGCAAAGTGATTTGTACATTGTACACTGTTGATTCAGCAAATCAGTTTTTTAAAAATCTTCTTTATAATTATAACACAGCAGTAAAAGATTAAAAAAAAAGTAGCAAGGCAATTTTCCACATCATAATGGCTCTTCATCAAGACTGAACTCCAGAAATGTAATTTGTGTGTTATTATAACTGAGACACATCAGAGAATAAAATGAGCCCTTTTTATCTACAGTTACTCTAGTTGTTTAATACTAACACAAGTCAAAACAGTAAAAGTCCTTTTTGTCTTTTCATCTTTGAAATACATAAAAAATTAAGTATATTTTGCAAGACAATACTACCAAAAGAAAGCATTTTTTGTCCTCTGAAAATTTTATTTTCATGAGTAATGATACAATTATTGCCAAATACATTTATAATAATAAAAAAATAAAACAATTAATGCCAATCCCATATGTAAAAACTGGTCTGGTCCATAACAGGTACATTGGTGCAGGACTTCAAGCAGTCAAGCTGAGCCTTTGCCCAAAGATATTTAGCAGCAAAAGATAATAGTAACTACAGGTACAGTGTCCTCCTCCTTATAGTGCCTGTGCAGCCTGGTACAATCATTGTGCAAATTACAACTTTCTGTATGCCAGTATTGGCAAATGCCCCCTGGTGTCCTCCCTGACAGTGTGTAGGCCTGAAAATAGGTCACTCAAGCAGTGCCTGAGGTTATACAGGGCAGGAAAGAAGTATGCCTGCGCTGTCTAAATCCCAGAAGCCTAAGAATGTTCACTTGCTCCAGCAGTGCTATAAGAAGAGCGACATGAAGGTACCATCTCTATCAACCTATCCCACTATCCTGGAAGGTGTGGTTCATTTTGTCTTTATGTGTCATTTTATAAGCATGCTGCACACAAATGAGCAAACTGATTTGTATACATTAAAATGTTCACAAAACCTAGTTCAATGCAATCCAGTGTTTTAGGTAAGAAGTGCCAGTATGCTTCACAAATGAACCTGATTTGCTCATTTGAACTGCTAAAGTGGTCCATAAGTTTCACTCTTGGCAGCATAGCCTGTCTGGTCACTTGATGGGACAGTGCTACAGTCACTAAATATTATCAATAAATACATTTGCCTACAAATACAAATGCAAAGCTCATAAGAAGAATTGGTTTCATTTAAATAAAGTAATAAAGTAATTAAAGGAGAACTATGAGATGAGTGATTTCCACTCACCTCATAGTTCTAGCCGACCTGTGACAATGAGACTGTCACAGGTCGGCTCAGTAGATCGGGAGGTGAGCGAACACATACCGCGTTCGCTCACCTCTCGATCCTGTCACGGCTCTCTGCCGTGACAGGGGGAGGGGCTGGATTCCCCTCTCCCCGCTCCGCCAGCGCTGACTGGCGGAACGGACGGGGGAGGGGGCGGGTACAGCTGGCTCTGCCTCTAGATAGGCAGAGCCAGCTGTCACTCACGCAGCTGGGCGGATCTCGACCTCGATGTAGGGATCCGCTCCGGCGTCTCAGTATACCGCGAGCTCTAGTTGGCGGTATACTGAGCTTAGGGTAACGGGAGGACGCTAGTTTGTGTCCTCCCGTTACCCTAAGGAGAACTATGGGGGTCAGTCCTTTAAATTAAATCTAACTAAAGTCCCAAGTCCGCTATACACGGGTCAGTATTTCAGCTTCCCACACAGGTACTGTATGCAGGGTCGGATTTACTCCACCTGCCGCCCCAAGGCCAGGTTCCACAATACGCCCCCCTCCCCATCAATTGAGAATGGCAACCAGATGGCAGGGCGGGG